GGCGGATCAGTGGGACCCGGAGCCTCTGCCATCGGAGACACATAACGGTAAGAAGGAGAAAGATGGTTCGGACAAGGGCAAATCGGGGAAGAAATTACTGAATCTGAAATGGATGAAGAACATCTGCAAGAAATCTAAGAATAATAATTCTGAGAAAGTTTAGATTTTTTTTTCTTCATGAGTTGGTGAATCTCTTTTGCCTCTCCTCCAAATTTTTTTATTTTTATTTTTCATTCTATTTTATTTATTTATATATATATATATATATATATATATATATATATATATATATATATATATATATATATATATATATATATATATATATATATATATATATATATATATATATATATATATATATTAATTTTTTTTTTTTATTATTTTTATCTATCATGTTTCTATGATTTTTATCTATGATGATTTTCAATCTTGAATATGTGTTTTTTTTAAATAAAAAAAAAATTTGATTGTCTTTATTGAAATTTATGAGTGGATATAATGGATGTTAATGTTATATGTGCAATTTGTTTTCAGAAAGTCTATTTGATATACATTCGTATCGGGAATCAACAAATCGACAAATATATTTTATATTAATAAATCAAGTTTATTAGAAAAAATAAATTAAGAATTAGTAATTTATAAACATAGCATATGAAATTAATAAATAATAATAAAAGAACTTATGAGCATGGCAATATATTCGTAAATTTGTATCTGCCCCATTAGCTAACGGGTGCGAATTACCGGATGAATATGGGACGACATGTTAAAATTGTCGTTTGTAAATTTGAACCTGCACTATTAAACGATTTCCAGAGCGCTTAACAAAATTGAACGATCACTCGTCTACATTCTCGACAACGTCAACTACTAGTTAATAGTCGATATTTCGCAATTAGTTATAAATCTACTACTATTAAATAGATCAATGAAGCCTAAGTAGGGAGGAGTATTTGGTGGCTATCAAATGTTCAGATATTATAGAATATAAGAAATGCATGTACTAGTGTTAGATCGATGGGTAGTATATAATATATGAATATAGAAAATACATAATGCCCTATGTCTAAAATGGCCTGAAACTCACCTACAAATTATGATTAATAAATCTTTAGTGGTATATGATAACTGATTATTTATTTATCGACACTCAGGGGGCAAAGTCAGGATTTTATCACTAGAGGGTCCTAATATATATGAAGTAATGAAAATTTTACGACAACAAGGATTATTTGAATGGTGGTGAATTTAAGATACTATTAAAGAGCGGACTTAAAATTTCAGTGATTCGAGGGCAGTGCCCTGAAATAAAAATAAGTATATTACGGTCATCCCCTGAGAAAATGTTAGATTATGAGAAGAAAAAACACCTCATGTTTGAGTGATTACAACCAACTTTCTCAATTATGAATCTTCTTACGCGTGCACCCTCACGATATCAAATTTAATGTAATCTTCTAAATTATGTGGAATATTCTCCAGTTTATACCCGTTTTACCTCATTCGAGCTCCCCAATATAAAACAAGATGATCATGAAATGTGAAAATCTTGGCTTGTAAATATCGGATTGTGGTGCATCAGAAATTGCAAAACAAATTTGATTGAAGGTGAACTTAAGTCCACCATTGCCATTGGTTCCAAATCACGATTCGTAACTTTCATCATTGTTAGTCTCATATTATTTTTCTGCGTTTTATTCAATTAAAAATACGTAATTTTACTTTTTATATAAACTAAATTGTTAAACATTATAAGAATACTATTACAAAGACAATAAATTATATGTACATATATAATAGTAAAAATAAATAAAACTTGAGGGGGTCATTGCCCCCAGCCCTACAATGGGGAGGCTTCCCCATTGTCGATACTTAGCCAACAATAAAATTCTATTATGATCACAAATTGTGATTAAAAAAGCGTACACGCAAGTACTCAACTTAATTGAACTTATTAGGTGAATACCAACATTCAACAATGAACAAATAGTCTTTAACATAAATAATAAAACAACTCTTATTCATAACAAGTTGATCTCCAAAAGGAGATTCATTCAGCACTAAGTTCTTTTATTACCAGAACAAGCAATATTCATAAAATAAAAACAACCTCACTTAACAGTCAACATACTTTATTAAGGACACATTCCCAGAATTATAGTTAAAGTGGAACGAAACTAAACACGATAAATCCAACACGAAGTCTTCTCACTTCTCGTAATATCCCCACAGCAATCATTAAATAGCGCGTACGTGTGGTATACTTTCAATCTTCAGATTTACGATATAAACAAACGACCGATGGAGATGATCAGATTTCAAAAAGCACCATCAGCCGAAGGAAATATACGCATGGCTCGAATAAATCAAGGTTGAAAAAGCTAACGATTTCCAACTTCTCCATGCAATTCTCCAAGTCGACAAAAATCCAATACCCTTGTCCTACGCTCTTTTTTTCATGAATTTTCTTTTTTACGCATTTTTACCTTTTTTTTGGGTCTATTTTCGCTTCTCGTCACTACAAACACCAGAAATCAGAAAGCCCCACCAAACAATCACTTTCTACGAACTAGGAGCATCAAACAGTGGAGACCGAAGCCCAAAACAGCTTTCCCAAATACATTCTTGATTCGAGATTTTAAACGCGGGTCCTACGTAAGTCTGTCACCCATGAAGACTGCTGACGTGGCAACTCGGCTCGACGAGAGCTGAGCAGGATTCAAACTTCTCATCCTTCTTGTCACTGTACTTCACCAGCTGCTTAAAACAATCCGAACACAACAACTCAAGCGAGAACGTTTCTTCGAATTCGGTGTCGTTAACGCACCTGCCACACTGGGCGCACCTTGCGATGCACAGGGTACAACCCCTGCACGCTTGAGGTGACTTGTCTTTCACTCTACAACCTTCGGCCGGACAATCGTAAACCAACCTGAATTTCTCGCACTTCGGGCACATTTCAATATCTATTGCACGATCATCGTCGTACGAAATGTAACAGCTACCCCGCTGGTATAAATGCGGCTTGCGGTAGCTTCCGATGTTGTCGTTAGCACCCAATAATAACTTCAACTCGTCCACGTGCTCGTGAGTAACGCCATAGATTCCACCAATTCTAACGAGCTTTATACCTCCGACATCTTTGTTGCAGTTATTATATGCCTTGATGTTGTTCAGTATGCATTCAATACTGATCCTCGTACACCCGGGAACACACAGCTGCATACAAGTGACGCATGAGAGTAAGAAAACTAGAGCTATTGATTAAAGAAACAAGCATGTGTAACGTGTTTACTGCCCATGATTGTTGGCAACTCCAAATACCAGTCTGAAACCAAATTTAATCACTAACGGCAAAAATATCCAATTCAATCACTTGTATTGTCAAAGGCTGTAGCACATTAAAACCATTAAACATTAAAAAAAAAAAAAAAAAAAAAAAAAAAAAAAAATCCGAAGTAAACGAGAATGGTGCACCACCAAAAAAAGAACGGAAAAAAGATGATTGCTGATTACAGCTGCTACATTAGGATTATTATTCAATTGCACTAAAGTCTTGAAATGTTATACTTTACAAGGATAATCATCGATGTATAATCCCTGCCAAAAATTTGATTAACTGCACCAAACAGAGTTGACATTCGGATTTTCAAATCGCATTTTCAGTTATAGGACTCCTCACATAAACATAGAGTGGTCGGACATGCGTGCGTGTTGTAAGGCAATTTCTAGACGATTTAAAAAAGTTTTTTTTTACACAGCATACATATCCTCCAATAAGCACATTCTCTCATTAAAAACAAGCAGTGGACTCAGTATGAATAAATGATAATGATTATGGGTGTTTCTAATTGTTATGGTATGCTCCAGCAATTTTTATTAATTAAATCCCACATATTGAAAGAGATGCTAAAATTTAAAATGTAATATTTGAAGATGTAAACCAATAGCAGTAGCATAATATGTAAAGAACCACTGACCTTAGTTAAACGTGGATTTGTTGCAAGTATGTGCCTCAAACTATCTTCAGTTACTTTAGGGCACTCCACTAAGCTCAAACATTGCAAACTACCTTGAGCTCTGCTAACCAATTGCAGAAGAATATCATCCGTCATCTTTTCATTAAGAGGTTGATCAATGTGGATCGTCATCCAGAACAAAGGATCACCTCGGACAGTGGAAAGTAAAGACCTACAAACCCTTTCGACGGACAAAAGATCCTTCACTCCCAAATAGCTGAGAGCAAAAGCTAAAGCTTCATGAGGCGCCCCGTCGAATTCGGCAGCACCCTCCACCTCTTCTCTGGATTGCAGCTCGGCCGAGCTGCATGCAACACTCACATTCGATAAGCCCGCGATATCCCCCAATCCAGCTGTCGTAATGGGCTCATTCAATTTCTCATCAAAGTGAAGACTTTGAGGTAAATAATTGCTACCCACAGTCGGTTTCTCACGAATGTGAAGATAGCTTGGAAAGGACCGTGCACCCATACTTTCAGGAAATGGCTCCAAATTTAAAGAACTGTTCCAAAATAAGTTCCATCTAGCGAATAAACCATAACCTTCCGCGTCGGGCCAACTACTGTCACTCATCATATACCCTTCAACCTCCAAATCCTCGAGCCATCCCGTGATGGCAGTGAAAGTAGTCTTTAGATCCATACCCATGTTAAATGGATCGGTGGGCAAAAGGTTCCGTATATCCTCTGATTCAGACGAGTCTGAAGAGGACAACTCCGACGAGCTACAAAGATCAACTATATCAATATCGCACTCGAAATTTCGCTCATCGGCTTCTCCCGCGCTTACATGCCACGTGTTCGAGTAACCTTCTCCATTCTTTTCAGAAGAACCCTCCACAAAATACCCATTCACAATCCTCCTCACCGGTGATACCAAGTTATCCTCGGCAATGTGCGGTGAAAACACCTGCCTGTGTGAATAGTTCAAGGCCATCTCGATATTTCTACATCAATCACTAGCTCAGTTTTTTTTTTTTTCTTTTTTCTTTCCTAGTACCCCAAATGGATAATGAACAACAATCTACAAAACTCCAAACAATAAAAATCTTTTTTTTTTTTACTTACGTTTTTTACTTTTTATGGATTTTTGAAACTGATTTTAGGGAGGTTGGGGGTGGGGATATACTAAATTTGTTTTTTTGCAAAAAGATTCAAACAAGAAAACCCTCGATTTTCAATGACACTAAAAAAAGCACCAAAAACTTCACTGAGTTTTTCTTGGAATTGACCTAAGGGTTGTAATCTTTCCACCTACAGCTATCAAATCGATCGTCAAATCGAAACTTTCAATATATACAAAAAAATGAAAGAATCCCAAAGCAACTACTATCCAGAAAATATGAATTAATTTACAAAAAAAAAGGACCTAATTACCAAACTGATATATACGTAATCAACGAATTAATCGAATAACAGAAAAACCTGATCTTTTTTTTCTTCAAAACCAAACCTAATTTTATTTTTACAACACAATTGATAGATGGGAGATATCGAGTCCTTGATTTGAGGTTCTAATAGTAAAAATGAAATTGGGATTTGGGAAAAATAGAATAAAATCAGACGATCGAAGTTTGGGAAATACAATACATGCTACAGTGAAGGGGGAATTGGAAAAGGGGGAGAGGAAATATGGGTAGAGGGAGGGGGCTGTGTGAAATTAAGATAGAGAATTGAGGCAAATTGACACGTGTGGCGAAGAGGGATTTTTTTTTTTTCTCCGGCGGTTTCGGGTGGAAAGCGGCGGCGGCGGGAGAGGAAATAGAAAAATGAAAAAAGAAAGAAAAAGGAAAGGGGAACCTTTACCCTAGGAAGAGGAAACCTCTCTCTCTCTCTTGTTTTTCGCTTTAATGTGGACAGCATTTGACGAGTGAAAATTAGGTGGTCAAACGGTAAATAATAAATATGGTAAATTACACCACACCCCTGATGTATGGTCAAATTATAAAAAAAAAAAAAACCCTCATGTTTGGGTAACTACAATCACCCCTCAACTATGAATCGCTTTACACGTCTGCCATTGTGGTGTCAAATTTAGTGGAATCTACTAGATTATGTGGAGTATTCTTCAATTTGTACATATTTTATCCCATTCGGACTCCATATTTTGAAACAAGATGATAATAAGATGTGTCTATTGGCTTCTAAATATCAAATTATGGTGCATCAGAAACTGTATTTTTGCACAAAACGAGTACAAAATAGAGAACATTCCACATAATCTAGAAGATTATGTTGAATTTGACACCATAAATATAGACATGTAAGAAGACTCATAGTTGGGGGTGATTGTAATTCCTCAAACAATAGGGTTTTTTTTTCTTAATTTAACCATACCTCAGGGGGTAACGGTTACCCTAATATATAAACTATGTTTTTTGTATAGTAAATTAGCTAATTATTATCGTATAATCCCACCTTGCACCCTTGAAATGTAGTATTTTAGCAATGTACACCCTCGAAATAAATTAATAGTATTTTGCAGACTCGAAACACAATAAATGATGCATAATACACCCCAAATAAAATTTTCATGTTAATAAAGATAATTTAATATTTTTAGTGGTAGTTTTTTAGGATGCCAAATGCCAATCATTTTTTTGTATTCATCAATTTGAAACTATAAAGTGCAAAATGAAAACATATCTAATCAACATATTTAAAATTATATTTTTTATCACAAAAAAATATTTTACGAAAAAAAAATCTTCAGTTATTTTTTATCAAGTTATTTGAAAATTATATTTTCTTCCAAATATTTCTACCTAATATTTTCAACAGTTACAATAAAAGATTCACCAATCGAATAATTTAGTGATAAAATTTTATTTTATTTTATTTTATTTCGTAAGAAAATATAGTTTTTTAAATAACCCGGTGTGATTTTTAATTTTTCGCACGCTCGAAATTAAGTTGGAGGTTGAAGAAAATAACAATTTAATTCGTTATTTTGCACATTGAGAAAAAAAAAAACAATAAGAAATGAAATTGACTCTATTATTCATTTTATGATGCATTATGAATGATTTGCTGTGTTTTGAGGGTGCAAGTTGCTATTTTTATTTTTGAAGGGTGCAAAGTGAGATTTAGCCAACTATTATCCTCTTTTAGTTACCGGACACGAGTAATAAGTGGAAAATACTTGACGGTAATATGACCTTGTCTAATTAACCATATGATAAATATTATTTTGCTGGTTTGTCAAAGTGATGATATTATTTCCTATAAAAAAAAAAGTGATGATATATACAGTGAAGTGTACATAGATTAAATTGGTTGAATGGGTTTGGATTTAGTAATCAAATGTAGTTTAAGATAAGTTTCTTCAGAAATAAATGATTAAATTTTAATTTATGATAATTGTATGGAAATGTGAGCTATAAGATATGAAGAAAATAAGGGAAAAATTAGGAATAGGGATATCATTTTTTTTTTTCGATTAAAGGTTCTAAAGTTTAAATTTCGATTTGCGAAAAAAGTTGTTTCAACTAGGCATCTCAAACACTCTGATTGTCTTTCATCCGGTCCACCTTATTCTTCTGTTCCTGGATAGAGGCTTCGCACGAAAGAAGCTAGTGTTACGATCCCCCTTTCTAATTCAACGCACCCTATGGCATTGTTTTCGGTAATTATCATGATTGACATATGCCATCTTCAAATACGCTTCTACACCTCCGAAATTTGTGCACTTGGGATTCTGCAGATTAGCTTTATTCAGTTGTGAAAGAGCAAGTCTGCAATTACAGTTAAATATAAATTAATACAGTCGGAATTGGTGAAATTCTATCAATTTAGCGAATTATTAAATTATCGAGTTAATAATTTAACACGTTCTCACCGAGTCGGGATCTAGAAAAACTATTATTTAATCGAGGTTATTAATTTATCGAGGTTCTAATATAGTATTGGAGACATGTCATCAATGCCAAAACAAAAGGATATGGTTTATTTGTTGCTAATGAATTATATTTTTCAGAAACTTTTAGCTAATTTCTGTAATAATAAATGATAAGGGTGTTTCATTTGTTATTATTTATTTTTTGTTGAATTGTTGAAGAAGTCTATTTTTAATCATTTAAGTGAAATAGAATTATGAACTCGTGTTATGATTGGTGCCTATAAACTCCTTTCTCACCTAAACATCATCAATAAATAATTAATTGGACAATATTAATCCCTTAATAAGTAAGGCAATAAAATCAATGCTAATAATATAAAATAGGTATTAAGATTTTGACACAATCCCATACCACGGTTATTTCTATGCTACACCCGGTGAAGATGACACCGGATGTTTTTATTCCCATTGATGTACACACACCAATGTGGATGTGTACGTATTTGTGAAGTACTATTTTTTAGAGACATTTTTAATCAAATAAATTATAAATGTAAAAACTAATTTTTTTAATGAGTTGCCGGACAAGGTGGGTATGGGTGAGTTTTATACGGGGCGGGGACATATTAATATAAACCCGAAGGGGTATGGGTCGGGTACAGGTGATTTTTTTTGCTAATGAGGAGTTTTCTAAAACACGCCCCATGACGACGGTCGGTTAAAACCTCGTTAGTTAGCACAACGACTCAATTTTAAACACATATTTTCATTAGATAAATTATAAAACTTGGATCGATCTCAACTGAAAAAAAAGGACAAAATATGTAAATAAAAAAAAATTAAACTAGTACTTGAACTCAATTTGTGTTCAGTTAATTAAAATTCTTTGGAAGTCGATTATCAAACCAAACTCAAGCACAACTACAAAAGTTTGATAAACATTCAAATAAATTTGAACAAACGTGTACTAGATTCAACTCGATTTAGATTCACATTACTTTTGTTAAAAACTATTTTAAGTGTGAAAACTTCGAATTTAAACCCGTTCTATTTTTTTTGATCAGCAAAGGAGATAAATATGCCTAGTCTATTTAAATACCCGTTCTAACCGAAACCAAAACAGAAACCCGAACCGAAATCAAAATCGAAACCCGAAAATTCAAAACTCGAAACCCGTTCTATGCTAGTTAAAGTTTGGCTAGTCTATTTTTTTAATTAATAAAACCGGGAGAATACACTTTTGGTCCCTCATATTTGGCCCGATTTCACATTTGGTCCATGTTGTTCCAAAGTGAACAAAGTTCACCTCTAAGGTTCAATTTTACACACTTTTGGTCCCCACCGTTTAATGCTCGTTAGCAAGTAACGAAATACACTATTTTGGGGCCAAAATTGAAATTTTAAATTTTTTTGGGGCTGAAAAATAATAAAAAATAAAAAATTTACTACTTAAAGTTAAATTTTTAATAATAATAAAAATTAACTAAACAAATTTTTTTTAATCATACTTAATATTATTATAATTATACTACTTATAATTAAATTTTTAATAATAAAAAAAAATTTAGCTAAACACATTATTTTAAATTATATTAATATTATTTTTAATTATACTACTTACAAATTTTTAATAATAAACAAAGAAATTAATTAAAAAAATATCATTTAATACTTAATATTATTAAAAATTTAATTATAAGTAGTATATTTTAAATTTCTAATTATTTTCCAGCCCGAATTTTTTTTAAAATTTCAATTTTGGCCCCAAAATAGTTTTTTATGTTACTCGTAAACGGACATGTAATGGCGAGGACTATAAGCATTTAAAATTGAACGTGAACTTTGTTCACTTTGTAACAATGGGACCAAAAATGTAATACGGCCAAACACGAGGGACCAAAAGTGTAATTCTCACTAATAAAATCAGTGAATTTAAAATTCAGTATTTGGTGAAATATCAATTACATATTCTGAAAATCCGCCCTTATTTCCCTCGCATTTGCCGTCCCTTTCCTTCCCTCAAACTACAGCTAAATAGTAGACACAGTGTAATTTAGGAGAAAATTTAGGGAAAAATTCAAATTCAAAAATGGAGAATGAGCGGAAGAGAAGAAATGTTTTAGCTCTCACCGGAGCCGCCGCTCTTCTCGCCGTCGCGGTCAATTTTGCCGCTTCTGCTGTCAACGCCCATTTAAACAATCGCAAAAGAAAAGGTATATAATGCGCACGCACACACACACACGCACACACACACACACACACACACACACACACACACGCCCTAGCTTGCATTTGTATATATCTGTATGTTCATGAATTTATTTATCCTTGATGAGTGAAAATTTAGTTATTGTTAAGTTCTATGTGTAGAAATAATTGGGTAAATTTAGAGAGCCAGTCGTCTGTTTACCATAAAAAAAAAGGTTCTAATGATAAATTAATTTTTGGTGCATAGAAATAAGTTATTGCAATGTATGTATGTATTTTCATCTCAAGACAATTTGGCTTGAAGATATATATATACACGTTATTTTTTTTTTTGTTTTCAGGGGTTTCAGCATTTTTTTTCTCTCCAATGTTGTTAATTTCGGTTTAGTGGAAAATGCAGAGATCCGAGTTGGGTTTAACTGTAATATCATGTTATTTCAAATAATAAATTTATTTGAGGCGGACGTGTGTCTGATGTTATTTTCGAGTTGCTGATTTGTTATGTTTAAATTACAGCAGTTCCGGGATCGAATGTACGGATAAATTTATCGGCTTCTGAAATACTGAGGTTAGCAGACCACATAGTTGCAAAATCTAAGGAGGTTCATGATGCAGTTGCTTCAGTTCCTCTTGACAAGGTATTATAGTGTTAGACACGATAAGGATAAAACAAGAATGATGTTTGATTTGTTTTCAGATATATTTGCACATTTTTTTTTCATTTTTTGACTAGAGCTTAAATCGGGCCACATGCTCGTTTAGTACATGCATCTTGATGAGTGAAACTGACGTTTGCAGTAGGAGGGTTTAATTTAACCATGAATTAAAAGTTAGGCTCTGTTTGGTTCATCGAAAACAATGTGTAAAAAAATGAAAAAATTAGGTAGAATGTTTGTCCTGTTTGGTTGGAATGTAGAATAATGTGCAAAGTTATTTAGAGGAGAAAGTGGGAAAAAAATTAGACACAAGGAAAATTTGAAACCGAACATACTTATGATTTTGAAATTCTTCGATTTCATTTCCCTTTACACTTTTAATTTTCTTCATTTTGAAATCCACAATCCAAACAGAGCCTTAATGAACCCCACATGCAACCTCCAACCACATGAAGTCTAATATAAGTTTTGCTCACAGGTAACTTATGCCAATACAATACTACCATTAGCGGAATTAGAAGCACATCAATTTCCTCTGGTACAGTCTTGTGCATTTCCAAAGTTGGTATCGGCTTCTGAAGATATTTGTAAAGCAAGCATTGAAGCTGAGCGAAGAATTGATGCTCATGTTTCTAGATGCAGGTTTTACTTTAGTTTTGTATTTCTCTTTTCATTCTCTGTGCTTGGAATGTTTAGCCATGGACTTGTATGTACTTTCAAATGTATCTTAACAGAAGGCGAAAGAAAAAAAAATCAGAAATTAAAATCATCCTTTTTGTCTTGGGGACTACACTATTTGAGGATATAAACTGTATAGCACTACATATTTCCAAGAAAATTTTATGGAAGTGGAACAATGCTACAAGTTAAATGATTGACTTTGTAATTAGTTAGTGCCAAGAATAAGGATTTGCAGATATGCAACACTTTACAAGAGTTATACAGATAACATATAAGAATTGGTTTTAGTACGAATTTGTGTTTAGGAATCAGGATATATCTGGTATCGAACTCAAGTATAAGTATCACATCTGTTATCTATATTGTAATCTATTATAGGACTTATAGGAATATATTGGATTTTGATGATTGGTTTGGTTGAGAAGCAGTATAACTGGGAAATTTATACTTGATTGATTTTATAATTAGATAGTGCCAAGAATACGGATTTGCAGATGCAACTATTTACAAGAGTTATATATATATAAACATATAAGAATTGGTTTTAGTAGGAATTGGTGTTCAGGAATCAGGATATATCTGCTATTGAACTCAATTATAAGTATCACATCTATTATCTATATTGTAATCTATTATAGGACTTGTAGGAATATATTGGATTTTGATGATTGGTTTGGTTGAGAAGCAGTATATCTGGGAAATTTGTACTTTTTTATAATTGTTTGGATGTTCACAAATATTTTGTTGGTTTCCTTTGACATTGCAGTTGTTGAATCCTAATATTGTCTCTTTTCATACAAATCGTACAGTAAGCGTGAAGATGTTTACCGTGTTGTCAAAGCTTTCGCGGCACGGGGGGATTGGATGAACTCTGAAGTCAAGCGTTTTGCTAATAATTTGGTACGGACCTGTAAGAAAATATTATCATTTAATGTTGTTCATTTGGTCTGGCGACTGAGGTTCGCGTAACTTAATTCTTGAGAGCAGTACTCTTTACAGCTTCAAAGGATTCAGGTGCAAATAGTTGCAGATTTGTGATTTTTTTTTCTCGTAATCTCATTTTATAGATTTTCATCAGCTTCTCCCTTGCAGTTAGTTAATACATCCTATTTTGTAAAATTGTGTTCAAATCATTATTCGATAAGGCAATATATATATTTTAGTTAATTATATCTTCTTCATTTTATAATACTACATGATGTAGAGAAACTGTAGCAAACAACAAGAGACATGTTAGATTCCTGGCTCGTGAAAATGTTTTTCTTTTATTTTTCCTATTGATGTTTTTATTCGACATTGTTTATTAGCCAAGTCTTGATTTGTAATGTTTAGTGACAGGTTCAAGAGTTTGAACGGAATGGATTGAATCTTACCTCGACAAAAAGGGAGGAATTGCTACGTTTGAATGCTCAAATAGATGAGCTAAGTATGCGATACATCCGAAATCTGAATGACGATACGACATTTCTTATTTTCAATGAAACAGAGCTAGTTGGTTTGCCTCCAGAATTCCTCAAGGTTGCAGATATTCTTCAACTCTATCACTATAGTTTATTTGCATTTTGATTTCAATAGTCAGTCTAGAATTACATCCTTAATTTCTTCCTCCGGGTTTTTTTTTTTTTTTATTTTTTTTAAATTTTTTATCTCATTTCCTGTTATTATAACACAGAAATTAATGCTGTTCATATTTGTCCATGTGTATGGATCTAGTGTGTGAGTAATAAATGCACACAAAGTACTTTCAAGCTTTCTCTAGCTTAAAAGAGTTTCTTAATTGAATTTCTTGAATGGACACTTCTCTAGCTGCATTACTTTCTTTGCTGCCTATTCTGTTCGGTGGAGTAGCTCAATGTTATCTGTATGTTTCAGAGTTTGGATAAAGCTGAAAATGGTAACTTCAAGGTTGTGTTAAGAAGTCATCACGTGTCTCCTATCCTGGAGTTATGTAAGGTAAAAATTTCGAAAGATAATTCTCATTTATGTTCTTTTTATTCTACTTCATTTTGTGCAATTTGAATTCCAGAAAACAATCCATGCAGTAGAACTGATGTTATCTGACCTTAATATTTGCAAATATACTAGGAAAGTGAACACTTGGACAGCTTATTATCATATGCAAAATCGGAAAGAATTGGATCTCCGTATGTTGGTCTTGCAATGACGAGAGTAATACTAAAAGTTTATAAATTGTTAGAGATGATTAAATTATTTACGACTAGAATAGCTTGCAGCTAAATGCTCTTTGAAGATAACTGGACTGTGAAAATATACCACAGAACTAAGACTTCTTAAGCAGAGAGTAAATATTAAATGACCCACTAAGCACATTCCTACCACTAAATACTCTAATTATGTCTAGAATATTGTCTATGTTTATGTTTTTATTTTGACATTTTGAAATCATAAGCATATGAATAAAGATCAAGATACCACTTCAACAATCTAATATTTGTTCTGGTAGCTACTCTAAGTATGTCTTTGTAATTTTATTTTTCAAATTATTACTACTATTTATTGTATTATTTTTGTTTAAACATAGCATATAACTCCTGTGTGTAGAACTTGTCTCTATATTCTGTTGCCAACGTAAAACTGTACTACAAATATATAGTGCGACTTTTTTCCTTCATAAATCCCTGTCGTTCTGAAGATAAGAGTTTTTGTGTCTGTATTTTGTTAGTACTGTAGAACTATACTGCAATGCAACTATTTGTTCTTCATCAGTCTGTTATTCTGAAGGTAGGGTCAACCAGAAAGTCTGTAGCTGTGGCTTATGGGAGGAGATGCGAAGTAAACCTTTCTGTATTGGAAAAGCTGGTAATTTTATAAATAACAATCTATAATCTATAATCAAGTGTGCATATCATATATGTTTCAGTTTGCCTTGCATTTTTCATGTGTAACCTTCATCTTACTGAAGTTCTTTTGCACTGATGATATTTAAAATTGAATTACTATGTTTCGGTGGCTCTTTTAGCTACCATAAACTTTGTGTTCATGTTATATTGCTTAGTCTGTGTTCAATACTTAAGGAAATACTATAGCTATACGGCACTATTTAATTACGTCAAAACTTTGAGCTGGAATGATATCGGAAATCTTGCGAGGGATTCAAGAAACTGATGTCGGAAGTAGAACATTGTATGTTTAAGGTGTTATTTAGGGTTTCCTCTTTAACACCCATGAATTGTGATAGAAAAAGTTCGAGTCATCAATGTACTGATTTTGTTGATTTGGTCTTCAAAGTAAGATGGCCTAATGCATTTTTTTGTTCTTTTGCACCCTATGTCTAGTCGTTTGATATTCGTCTCGCTCTTGTACTTCCAGATTCAGTTGCGTCACAAACTTGCCAGATTGCTTGGTTACTTGAACTATGCAGAATATGCTACTGATCGTAGGATGGCAAACTCATCAGCGAAGGTTTGTCTTGGTTTTATATCAATAAATTCCTGACCTGATAAATTCATTTCCCAAAAAAAAATTTGAATGCTCCTCAGCATATTTTTCCTTTTTTCTCGTATGAAGTTCGATAAATAGTTATCACTATAACGACCTTAAAATTTGCATGATTAATCAGATATCAGGCTTCATGCACTTTGAATTTGTATTCAGACATTGCCTTTATGAATTTGTTTATTATGAAAAAATTGCTTCCGTTTCTTTAGGTGTTTGAGTTCTTAGAGAAGATATCCGCAAGCTTAACTGAATCAGCATTGAAGGAACTTTCTCTGTTAAAAGAATTGAAGGTTGGCATATTCCGCTTCTTCTCCCTTGTTCAATTAAAAAAATTCCTTTTAGCACAAGTCCCATTTTTATCTTCTTAACGAGACGGAATATCTTTTCGGAACTTTGTTATCTTGTAGAGAAAAGAGGAGGGAGAATTTCCCTTTGGAGTTGAAGACCTACCGTACTATGTCAAGATGATCAAAGAACAACAGTTCGATCTCGATTTTGGACTCGTCAAACAGTACTTCCCCATCACTTTAGTTTTATCTGGGATCTTCAAAGTATGCCAAGACCTATTCGGTAATCCTTTTGCACGCTTTTACGGAACTACATACATCTGTTCACTCATGTTTATCACATGGTATCTTATGTTCCGATTTTCTCTGATTATTGCAGGCTTAAGATTCGAGCAAGTAGCAGATGCTGAAGTTTGGCATCAAGACGTGCAACTTTATTCAGTTTTTGACTTGAGCTCCGGTGAACACATGGGCTATTTTTATCTTGATATTTATAGCAGGTTCACTTTTTCCCTTTATTTATTTATTAAGTTGAATTCATTGTTAAGGTGTGAGAAATCCGATCGAACCGTTTCTTGTATTTGAACAGGGGAGGGAAATATGGCCACACCTGTGTCGTGGCTCTTCAAAATGGTTCGTCGATTAACAGTTCAAGACAGGTGATTGCATCATATGTGGATTTACCGAAGTTCTCATATATATATATATATATATATATATATATATATATATATATACATGTCTATAATTATGTAGCAATATTTGTATCAAGTTTGGCCTAAAATCAAATTGTCATCACCAGATTCCAGTGGCTTTACTTATTTCTCAACTGCAAAAGGAAGTTGATGGAAATCCTGGATTGATGAGATTCTCCGAAGTAGTAAATTTATTCCACGAATTTGGGCATGTGGTATGATTCTTTCAGACAACCCCTGATTATTGGAACAGAAATTCATAATGATTTCTTGTGATAAGTTCGTACGACCAAAATTTTGAATTAAGAAACTATTGTGATGACTTTTAGGTCCATCATATTTGCAATCGTGCACCGTTTGCTAGATTTTCTGGCTTACGATTGGACCCCGACTTTGTTGAGATCCCCTCTCTTTTATTGGAGAACTGGTATGTGTATAATTTCATTTTTTTTTTAAGTTTTCTCATTGTATATGAGACACTAATTGCAATTTTTTCGCTTAGGTGTTACGAAAGCAGCTCTCTGAAACTGATCTCCGGTTTTCATCAGGTAATTGATTCCGGTGTTTGTTCTTTCAGTTATAGTTTAAGTGAAAGACGGTGTCAAATTTAAGACTGATTTTTTATTTATTTATTAAGATTTTCATATTTTTCTTGGTGAAATTGTCAGGATATCACAAAGCCTATCGATGACGAGACATGTAAATCGCTCAAGAGATGGCGGTGTTCTTTCTCAGCACTCAAATTGAAACAGGAGATTCTTTATTGTAAGTCTTCTCATGGAACATCGATTTTGCTTCTCGTTCCTTTTTTCCGAACCGGATCTCTGAGTATTTCAAGCTGGCAATTTTAGTTCCACACAAGCTTTTGTGACATTAGTTACTCATATTATCAGGTCTTTTCGATCAAATCATACATTCCAATGAAAATGTAGACATGATTGGGCTGTTCAACCATCTCCATTCAAAGGTATTCTTCGACACACACACACACACACACACACACACACACACACACACACACACACACACACACACACACACACACACACACACACACACACACACACACACACTTAATTATCTCTCTTCCACCGGCAGATTATGTTAGGACTGCCGATGTTAGAAGGAACAAATCCAGCTTCGTGTTTTCCTCGGACTGTGATTGGCTATGAAGCTACTTGCTACAGTCGAATATGGAGTGAGGTTTGTGACATAGTATTTCTTGTTACGCTAATACTTATAATATGGGGGTGCTTTATCCTGTATTCCGTAATTTATCGTTGTATAGGTTTTTGCTGCTGATATATTTACCACAAAGTTCCGCGACGACTTATTTAACCAGAATGCCGGCATGCATTTCAGGAACACGGTACACGTTTTACTTTCTTCTTTTTTCGAGATCAAACATAGTATTTTACAGTGCAAATTCTTCGTGTTTGGTTCTTGATAATTCCGAAATTAATTGTATTCTAACAGGTATTGGCTCCTGGGGGCGCAAAAGATCCTCTTGAGATGCTGTCTGATTTTCTTGGAAGAGAACCATCAATACAAGCTTTTGTAGACAGCAAAAGTTATTAACTTCATTTTTTTTCTTCTCTTTTTTGAAATTTGAGTATGCATATGTTTCTTGAGGTTTTGTCACACCTCGAAAATATTGCAGGTTTTCGAATATTGAAGTCTTAATTTTCTGAAGGGGATAATAGACGGTAATTCAATATTAATAAAATGGCAGTACACTACTCGTGTAGTTTGCATGTTATTGCACGAAAACATGGTTGCGTGAAAAAATTCCATAGCTACAATTTGATGAATTGAACCCACAAATTAAAAAAAAAAAAAAAGAGCCAAGCAAAACAATGAATAAGAAACTAGATAGTCAAAATTTAGTTTCGACTAATGTAAAAACTCGACTCTGAAATTACCACGTGCAAAATTTCTGATTCTCGTAAAATATCTCCTAATTGCACTTGCATTCGACTTCATTAAAAAAAAAAATGGTCATATCTTACGCATTCACAGTTTGCTTCGTTGGAGAATCCTCTGCCTGCAAGCTCTCGTAGTATTTGACCAACACTTGCCATCCACCGGGACACATAAAACCGTCTGGCGGATTTTCACCGGTTCTTGCGTAAGTCCTCATCTACAATAATAGTGCACATTTGAAAAAAAATATTCATTCATTCGGTAATCTTTAAGCAATATTTTAACCACCATTTTTTTCTCGAAAAAATATCTTCACTACGAAAAATATAGACGTACCTTAGTTCCAGATATGAAGAGGAAATCTTTCGCACGAGAAGGTTCGAAAAACGCCATCTTCTTTGCCACAGTATCATAGGCAGCCACCTATATATTATTATCAAGAAAAAAATTAAAAAAGAAAGTTTTTTTTTTGATCTATAAACGCTCTAAACCCTTTATGCACGTGTCGTTGTAAATAAACCGAGCATGTTGGTATAGTTCAAAAATGGTTAAGCTTAGGGTTAATATTATTATTATTGCCACACTTACCCTAAATGGCAGAATATTCAGCTTTTCGAGACCAGGTGCCATGCTTAGAACCTTCTTACCATGATCCGGATCATACAAGTCCCGTTTCTCTGTCGGGTGGGCCATGCCAGCTGGATCACGGCCCACAATGTAGAAATTTGCACCGGCATTTAATCGCGCCTTTGCATGCCACTGCACTTCGGTGGGTCCCGCGTAAAGCATTGGTGAAGGGAAAATAGCCACAATTGTAGTTTCGGGATCAAGAATCCCATCTTCGAGCACCTTTTTTTGAGAATCAAGAAACTCGAAATTAGACTAGTTATGGTTGTAGTACATTAAACGAAGCAATTCAATCACATCTTAGTCGCAGATTTAAATTTTTCAAGAATTTCCACAAAATCAACTATTTTTATCATCCAAATCAGCAAATACGAGAAAAATCGCACTGAAAAGCACGTGCGTTCAAGCATATGTTACGTATATAGTATTTCAAGAGGAAACTACTCAGTTGGCAGGTACTTTTCTTGATTTCATTTTTTTTTGTATTTCTTTCACAAGAATCGAGACAAATTGCTCTTATCGAGCATATATAACCATGCCAAATCATTAAAAAAGAAAGTCGACATTTTCGCAATAAAGCAATTTTAAATTATTAAAAAAACCTTGCTATGCTGTTCCATGCGAACATCGAGCGGCACATCGTCGGCCTTAGTGAAACCTCCCAAAGGATGGAGCAAGAGAATCGGATTCTTAAAACCCATATCCAAAAGTCTCTTACGAGTGTCGTTCATGAGCAAAGCGTGGCCGTTGTGCACCGGATTCCTCAGCTGGAAAGCAAACACCGCGTCCGCTTCGCGTTTGTCGAACTCCGCACGAAGTTGTTTAGGAGACAGCCTGTAGTTATCGAGACCGTCGTTGTATTTGATAGGGTTTATCACTTCTAAATCTCCACCTACGAGCCAATTTCCGGCTTGAGCGATGGCCTCGTCGACGTACGGCAATCCTGGAGCCGTGGTCCCCCATGTTCTCGCAATTCTTTCTTCTTTGTTGTGCTTGAATATTTCGATGCTGCGTAAAATAAATGAATTGTATTAAGTAAGAATGTGTAGTATAGGTAAAAAAGAAAGACATATTATTGGGATTCTTGATTAGAAGGGACGATAGTCTCATTCATAGTGCTCGTACTATTACGAGAACCGAGAGTACGATAGTTTCAGAATAATAGTATCGGAAATAGGGAATGCTCGAATGTTCGTAAGTAATGCTGAAATAATTGAGGGAAAAAAATGTGTTTTTATAGCACTCAGATTTTACCACTAAACAGAAACTTTCCGAAGATATTACATACGATATTTCAAACTTGAGAACATTCTACAGAACCTAGAAGATTATGTTTGAATTCGACACCATAAGTGGACGTGTAAGAAAATTCATAGTTGAGAAGGTGGTTATAATTATCCAAACAAGAGCGGATTTTTTTCGTAATTTGACCTTAGCTCAGAGGCTGGCCATAATTTACCCTAAATAATAATATAAACCAAGAAGTACTTTTGAATGTTATTTCTTCCTTTGCTACACAAGCAAATCATTCTCGCACCTCTAACTTGTTTCTTCAGCAACTTTTCAACTAGGAATAAAAATCCTTTCTTTACCATTTTTAACACAGATTAAGAAAATCAAATGCTACTCTCGTTATTTACACTTAGTGAATTTGAACCGTAAATCTACACATAATCACACACACCCATGTATATGTGTGCCTAGTGGATAATTATTTAATTTAATCCACGATTTGAATCCACCCGATATGTAAATAACCAGGTGTAACATCTAATTGTCCCATAAAAAAAGTTGCACACATGTGACAGTGGTGCTAAAATTCTCTTTAAAGGAGAGGATAAAATGATTAAAAAAAACCCCCAATAAATTAGGCCTAACTACTTGCTTAATCAGGAAACTAATCTTGTTCCTGACACACATAATTTCACAAGCTCCATTATTTTATATATTTTTTTATTCATGACAGTACAGTAATTTTATAATATTATAATCACGACAAACACCCTGAAAATTGAACCCAAAAAGAATTTAAAATTCATAAAGAAAAAAAAAGCCACAAACAAATTTTTTCACACACTCAAACACCCAAAAACACACACACACAGAGACAAGAACCTGGTAAGAATGGCGACCAAATCACCACCGGGCCCAACAAGGGCAACGCTGTCAGAACCGCCAATCTCCTCCTTAACACCATCGTCAACGCCCAAAACAATCGGCAGCGACATATTCACGAAACTGCCATCCTTCATCCTCAAGCAATTGAAATGCAGGCTCTGCAAATACTCATCTTCCCTCATGAACCCCTTCAGCGGGCTGGCCCACCCCTCCCCAATCACGTGCACCCACTCGAGATCGATCCTCGTCAGTTTCACCTTCGGCATTTTCTCCGCCGCCGCAATTCTCTCCGCCCTCTTCCCCTCCGGCACGGCGAGATCCACCAGCGACCCGCCGTCGGGATCTATCAGAGAGCTCTTCACCACCATTGGAGGGTTTCTTGGTAAAGATTGCATTTTTCTGGTGCGAGTGAGCGCGAGTGGGGATAGTGGGTTGGTGTGGTATATGGGTTTGGAGTGGAGTTTGGTGGCGGAGCGGGTTTTCTTGATTGCGGTGGCGGTGGTGGTGGTGGGATTGACATGTGTGTTGTTCACAACATGCTGTAGCTTGATTGTCAGTGACATTTTTTTTTTTTTAATGTCCAAAAAAATAAAAATTAATAAATAAAATTAACGAAAAATAAAATAAATGAAAAATGAAATTTTGCTTTTAATAGTTTCCTGTTTGATTTTTATGAAAAGGGATCCATGAAAATTGGTGGGATTTGCTTTTCTTGATTAAATTATAAAAGGGAATGTAATCTTGGTGAAGAGAGAGTGTGAGGAATATATGGAGATGATGCCAACTTGAAAAGGTGTCCACATGTTTTTGCCTTTTGCCCCTATTCCATCTTCAATGGTTGTGGATGTTTGCTTTTTTTTTTTTTTTTTTTTTTTTTTTTTTTTTTAAGGGCAAATTGCACACCATAAAAATTTCCAATTCCAATTTTCGCACTTTACCCACTCAAAATTTTAAAAAGTGAATGTAATGTTATTGTTGTTGCACGTTACACCGATAACAAAATTTCGATGGATTATTCATCGGTATTTGATATTTTTGCTGCACATTGCCCCTTTATATGTTATTTCTGTTGCACGTTATCCCTTGAGAACACTATGTTTTTGCACACTGTCCCTTTGAAATGTTATTTCGTTGTACGATGCCCACTAAAAATTGGCTTTCGGGGCAAAGTGTAATCAAAATAATATTTTGAAGGGGGATTATCCAGTTTTTGGATTTTTAGGGGGGAAGTGCGAAAATGAAAAAAATGTAGGGGTGAAGTGCATTTGTCCTTTTTTTAATTTTATTTTGGGTAACTTATGGCTAGACATGGCCATGGGCCGGGTTTGACCCGTCCCGGACCCAACTCGGGTTTGGACCTGCCCCGCTCCGAACCACCTGGACTCGGACCCGGTTTTGCATTGGTTGGTTTCAGGTCTTGTTTTTGTGGACTCGAGAACCCACGGGTCTATCCGGCGGGTCGACCGGGACCCAGGGACCCGACATGATTTTTTCTAGATGTCCACCGTTATGGTGTGAAATTCAACAGAATCTTTTAGATTATGTGGAATGTTGTCTAGTTCGTACTCGTTTTGTGTAAAAAGACAATTTCCGATGCACCACAATCTGATATTTACAAGCCAAAAAACATATTTTATGATCGTCTCGTTTCAAAATATGGAATTCGAACGGTGTAGAACGGCTACAAACTGGAAAATATTCCACATAATGTGAAAGACTACACTAAATTTGACACCATAAAAATGAACATGTAAGAAGATTCATAATCGGGGTGATTGTAATTATCCAAACAAGAGATTTTTTTTTTTTTTTTTTTTTTTTATAATTTAATCTTATCTCAAAGGTGTCCGTAATTTACACTTTTCTTTTTCTTATTGAATCAATAATGGTTTGCAATGATTTCAACACGTTAGGGTTGCAATTTATTTCATTTTTTTTAGGTCTTAGCCCTTTATCGTAGATTTATTAATTAAAGCAAAATATAATTTAGTTATTAATGCGAAAGCTTTGAAATTAGAGGTTGATAATTGCGAGTAGTTTAGAAAAAAACTGAAATGATGATATAACTCACTATTATCTCAAATTGCCTAAACAAAACTTAATTGCATATTCTGCCATGAGTATTTGGAATATTCTTCGCTCATATGACGGTGCCTCGGCCAGATGATTAATCTTATCTTTATATATAAAAGAAAAGTTTTGCCCCAAAACTATAATCCTATTTTTGTGAAATAGTTGTAACCTAGGGTTATTTTGGGTAAATCATAAATGATGGAAAATAATTCTTCCAAAAGGTGTCTAGTTAGACGGACAAAAAGATTGAATTATTTTAACCAACCTTAACATGATGAAAAACTGACTAACCGTCCATTTCCGCGTTCATGTTACAAAAAACTTGCATAAATTTCCCTCTATAGTTAACGGTGTTAATTTTTTATGGAAAATGGGATTTCGTGCAAAGTAAAATAAAACACAAGGGAGTTTTACGCAAGAAAAAAAAAAACACATAAAATTTGGCGCAAGTTTTTCTTAACACATGGGGATTTTATGCCGTTTACCCGGGGAAATAATTGTATATGTACTCATTTCACGAGGTATTGAGGATCTAATTTGAAAGGGTTGGAGTCGTTGTTAGTAGTTTGATTTTTAAGTGTTCGGTTTTGTTATGAATTTATCCATGGACAATGATCACCTCATTTTCTAGACATACATACACCATGGAATAATCTGAGGTGTATCTTATTTCGTCCATAGATCAAACACAATTTTGCAATAACAAATTTTGACGTACTACTCCAACTAGAATTTTATACTTTTTAAATTATAATTTTATTTCAATATATATTTTGAAGTATTACCACATTTTAAACTAATACTTTTCTTTGGATTTTGTTGCAATTAGTTCGGATTGCTGAAAAACTATTCCATAATATTTTATTAGCAAAAACACCCCCGTGATTCATTTTTTTAGCGCACAACCCCCTAACTTGGGGTACTAATTGCTAAAAACAATTAAATCATAATGGAGGCTTTGCCAATAAAATAATATAGAGTAGTGTTTGGCATTCGAGCTAACACGAGGGTACTAATTGCAATAAATTTATTTTTGTTATAGAATATTAAATATAATAAACTAAATCACATGTAGAGTGATTAGCAAACCAAAGAGAAAATGTAATATAAGTATGAAAGCTGCAGATTACTGTGAAGAAAAGTGAGTATATTTCATCCAGACTATAAAGCTATCTATACAAGATATATAGAATCCTTGTCATGCTAACATTACAAGATAGAGAGACACGTAGCATGACTGACTTAGTCCACAAGTAATTGACATATATTATAATACTCCCTCTTGGATTAAGTATTATTGTATCGACTGTAAATTGGATGAGTACGATGTATGCCTCGTTAAAAACCTCAAGTCGGAAAACCCAGTGGGACAAAACCGAACATAAGGGAAAAATAGTGCATAACTCAATCCAAGCCGTGTGCAGAAGCTACCTCGTTAAAAACCTTTACTGGAAAACCCAATGAGACAAAAAAATGGTCATCAGGGAAAAAGAGTACAGTGCACCATTGCTCCCCCTGAAATGAGCAATATAGCTTCCAAAATGGGACGTCAATCTTGCTTCACATTGGCTCTTCTCATTCCAATGGCATATACCAACTTCTCAAATGTAGAAGTCGGTAAGGACTTTGTGAATAGATCAGAAAGATTATCGCATGAGCGAACTTGTCGAACATCGATCTCTCCATTCTTCTAAAGCTCACGTGTATGGAAGAACTTTGGTGATATGTGTTTGGTCCTATCACCCTTTATATATCCCCCTCTTGTTTGTGCTATACATGCGGCATTATCTTCATAAATGACAGTGGGCAAGGCTGTAACTGAATGTAATTGGCAGGAGTTTTGTATATGCGAAATAACCGATCGTAGCCAAACACATTTTCTCCCTGCCTCATAAAGGGCTATTATTTCAGAATAATTTGAGGAGGTGGCCACCAATGTCTGTTTGGTAGATCGCCAAGATATACCTGCACCATTATAACAAAACAAATATCCAGTTTGTGAGCGAGCTTTGTGGGGATCAGATCTATATCTCGCATCAGCATAGCCAACTAACCCTTGGTTAGTTGCATTCTTCGAATAAAATAATCCCAAATCTGCAGTACATCGGAGATATCGAAAGATATGTTTAACACCGTTCCAGTGTCTCTGGGTAGGCTCAGAACTGTATCGCGCAAGCACATTTACCTCAAAAGCGATATCAGGTCGAGTGCATTGTGCTAGATACATTAACACTCCGATAGCATTGAGATACGGCACTTCAGGGCCAAGTATCTCTTCAGTTATAGCCGCAACTAACAATGCTTAGTCCAAGGGGGAGTATTATAATATGTAATTACTTATGGACTAAACAATCTCCAAGCATGAAAATGCAAGCAACAAACTCAATAGAGACGTGTCGGCTCCTTGAAAAGCTTGGATTGATTATTATAGCATGACTAAGCTTCTCCAACTCTTGTATATATAGACGCATGTGTGGATGATATGTGAGAGCCTTCATTAGCAAATAAATCTCTCTATCTCGTTTACACAATCTGCCCTTTTTTGTTATATTACATTAAGCACTCTCATTATATAATATGATCTTCTCTAACAATTTTCTTTTTTGTAGTTGTATTTCACACAATTAAGGCAAGTTAACAAAACTTTTGTTGTGTATTCTACCCATAGTTATCGGAAATATTTCGCATATCGTTTTTCTCCACATACGTATGATATCGTTATCTTTTTGTATCGTGTGTGTATGTATATATAATTTAAAGTCAAACCACTCAACAATGCTGAAAATCACACAAACCACCCCAAAACTACTGAATATCGCACAAACAACCCCAACAATGCTGAAAATTGCACAAACAACCCCAACAATGCTGAAAATTGCACAAACGATGCCAATCAATGCTGAAGATCGCACAAACACCCCAACTAAGATGAAAATCGAACTAATCACTACAAATCAGCGAACCCACCTCAATTTGAATGAACCCATCAAAAAATCAAACAAACCCAACCTTGACTGTGCGAAAAACGAAAAAAATAGAGCTCTAAATCGCGAGCAAGTTCCAATTGCGCGAATCACAGTCAAAATCATGAGTTAGTTCCAATTACAAAAAATCTATAAAAATTGAATTATGGTTGCGTTATTGTGAGATTTTTTTTAAAGAAATTGAAGAGAAAATTTTGTATATTTGAATTAGGGTAGAGTGTATAAGAATTGTTTTGTGAAGAGACACATCACAAGGCTTTGAATTATTCAAGAAAATTGAAGAGATTTGCCTCAAATCCGTTTTTCGTAGTTGAATATTGCGTTTGTGTAATATCGTTAACGACAGGCGTGAACTGCTTTCTAGTAGCTCATTCGGGTATCTAGCTTACGGAAAGCCTGGACCTAGGATTGCTCGATTGAAACTGTACCCTGTCGCAATATATCACGAGTTTAATCACACTGATTCTACTTTCGATATGTTATCAACGAACTTTTTTCCGAATTTTCCTTTTACTATATGTTACATTTTTTTTATTTCCCGTGCATCGCACGAGTATCGATTACTAGTTATCAGAAATCAAGAATTGTCTGTAGAAAAAAAAAAATGTGCGAATCCATTGAGGCAATTCAGTGCATTCTCGCTACAATTATTGTGGATTGGCATGAAAGTAAAAAAAAAAATGCAGTGTATACCATATTGCTTATCGTGAAGAGGTGA